TTTTTTTAGAATCAAACCAATGAAAGTAACACGCCCGAGAACGAACCCTCAGGTTGCAGCACAAAATAAATACAGACATCATCGCCGCCAGGAGAGCTGATAGGTCGTATTCTTCGCTGACGATCCACATCCCAGATTCCCGATGCATTAACGGCAACGACATAAATCGATGCAGGTGACGACGAAAAAGAAGATTCTGGAACGAAAATCGTGGGTAAAAGGCGGTAACGAAGCATAGACATCAAATCACCCACCACATGTTCGCTCCATGTTCTGCAAAGGATTGTTGTGATGCACACAGCATCCAAAACAGCTGTCCATCCAGCGAAAAACGCTGGAAGCTCACCCAGGGTGGCAAATGAAAACTGGTAGAGAACACAGTTCTTTGGTAGAGCAGACGACAGCTCAGCCATATGAACAGCTATAAGTAAAAATATCGCGATGTTGAACGAGAAGCAAACTGCCAGCCTCTAATGGAACTGAAGTTGTATGTACGTTTGCATTCTAAACTATTTTCTTAACCATCACACTACTAAAGGCACAGTTCACGAGAATTCAGGGGTATCCAGTATTAGACGATTAACGGGAGTGGAAGGGTTATTTGGAGGAACTGCCCAAATGTCCGTATCACTGCGTAGAACTGGCAACACGAAACTGCCTGCGTGTGATGAGTGGGTCCCGGCGCGATTGATGAAACCTTTAAAGCCTCTACAACGCCGCGAAAACTCGTTTGCCTTTAGGTGTGAACGTGAACCGGCTATCGAGCCCCTGATACTCCCTATACTAAGCCTCTTTGGCCCAACGGCGTCCTTTGTGTTATCCTTGGACGTCGCAGGTTCATACCAGGTAGGAATCTCAGGATGTCTTCACTGCTGCGAGTCTTGTAATTTCTGTGCAAATTGTTCTGTTACCTACTTACGCCATTACATTTACAATACTATCCTTCCCATCTTATGAAATATCCTGTTTTCAATAAGTGTTTTTCGAAGCTCTTGATTTCTATCACCATTCGTTAGCCACCGTTTTATATTCCCTTCCTCTGATCAAAATTGAGCGAGCTACATATGAATAATCAGCTACAGTACAAGCACATCTCACAAGATGTCTGGGTACCGCAAGCATTCCTGTCAATGCTGCACATCTGAGAAGATTTGCAAACATCAAGGTCCCATCTATAAGATTTCATTCACAAGATGTGGGGGAAAGTGTTCAAGGAAGACTTCCAACAATGTTTAGAGGAGTACAGGAGGTTGGTGGCCTACCCGGTTGCTTACCCATGCCACAGTTTTTCCAGGCTCCAACACTTAAGGCATGAAAGCGAAAACTCCCTGTTTTTCGATGTGAGGATTTTGCACGTCCATTTGGCACGGCTTTTGGAAAAGGAGATATTCAGCTAAAGCTAGAAATCAGTGAGATAGATAGTTGCATGGCCCTCTAAGGCTGATTGGATAATGGCAGAATGACGACTAAAGTCATCATTTGTGTACTTATTGTTAGTTGTCTTCACAAGATCTCCAGTTCTGGGATCGTTCGATGAGTTGTGTTCTTATGTTGTAAGTTATGTCTTTTGTTATGCCGGGAGTCTTTTGACAATATTGAATTCAAGAGCTTCTAAAAGAAATAGATGGATGTGAAGTTTGGATATAACATCTTGAAAATAGCTCAGATCTTACTTATTACTCATATCATTGAACAACAATATTTCTACAGGGTCACCCGTAGATTTATTGTGATAAAATAGTATTTCCTGTGAACTTTCACGTCCTTTTTCAATTCATTCACTTTCAGTCATTTAAATTTAATAGGAAGATTTCTCCCATTTGGTGTTGAAGTTATTAATATATTGAATGTAAAATTTTGGTAGTTATGCGATTTGAAGCATACTACTGATCGAATATCATCTATCTTGTGAGTACTGAGCTAGAATTTGGCAAATTGCCAGTGTCAGTAACCTACAAATTTAGTTTTTTTTAAACTCACATGAGATCAGTACTAGTAAGAAGGTCACTATAACGGCGATCAACGTTGAAGGACCAGCCAACGTTGTCAGTGAGAAAGGCATCAGAACGAAAATCAGCAGTGGAATAGACGAAGCACATACTGAAAGGGAAAATGATCATGTCGTTCCAGTACATTCGTATCATTGGCAGGGGTTTGATCATGTACTGATGAAAATCTTTGTTTCTTCGCATTTTTTCAAAGAGCGTGACAGAGCTGTTCATAAGCGGTAAATCCTACTATACTTTCAAGGAACAAAGTGTAACCGTTGGAGTGGTAGACAAATGAGTGAGTTTTTCGTGAAAATCTCATGCCTCACTAAGATGGTGCCCAAATATCCAGAGAATAAGAACGGTGAGTCAGAAGGTATGTTTACAATCTAGTCTCGTAATGATATCTGCTCAGACCAACTGAGCCTTACTTCCGTCCTAGATCAGCTATATGGTACCATACTCATTCGGGAAGATATAAGCGCTGACTCGGCTGCCCATCGCAGTTCATTGCATAGGAGACCGCATAATCATTCGAAATGACTCTTAAATGGAGGTCGGATGCTAGGGCGCATCCCGAAACGGGATCAAATAGCGCTGAAGGTTTTATATCATCCTTTCGTCGGTGGATCAGAAATAATAGGCGTTTGCATAGCCACAATATCCCTCCTGAATGACAGCAGCTATAGCCCGCTTAATTCACTGAGAAGTTTTCAGCAAAACAAAATTTTGAATATGAAAAGGAAACAGGAAAATAGCGCAANCTGGGAGTACTGTAAAGTGCTTACAGTAATCGATGTCACACCAAATGTCTCTGCTGATTTATGATTACTCCATGAGGGGTTGAAAATGATTCGCTCAGGTCCCACTCCACGATTTTGCAAGAACGGTAAGTCTGATGTAGTTCTGTCAGAATCAGACCTAGCATATTCACCCCAACAGAATTTGATCAACTACTTCCATGAAACTCTACCGCCCTCCAGGCCAGAAGATTCACAGCACGATTCACTTGCTCCATCATACGTAATAAAAGTTCCAGGCGTTCTGGATCTCGTTTGGACTTTCGCAATTAAATTACGGGAACGGTTAGAGTGTCGTGCAAACGGGTTGTCTCTCCCTTGTGCTTGCCTTCAGTAACCATCAGCAGAAGCGACTCAAAAAATCACGGAGCAAGCCGATACCCATTGCAATTTTCTTTTCTTTATCGGAGAAATCTCCTTGCAGAAACTGAATGCCTACAGATAAAAAGATGGACAGCCTCGATGGGGTAAGATAGTTCCATGACTTGCTCGTATTGACCGGAGGTATTACTATAAAAACTCTTTAAGGGGGTCATATGTTCCTTTTTAGATTACATTGGTAAAAGTTGACGTGAACCCATCAGAAAAGAGTACAAGGTGTTATTCAATTGGTAGCGAATTTGCGCGCTTGCCATATCCGATCTTCTCATCTGTACTATCAAAGAGTTAAGGAAATGGCGTAGCTGTGGAGTAAATGCTCCTACAAAATCCTTTACATGACCGTACCTCAGAAGGTGAGATTAGAATACTTTTTATCCCGAAAGCTTTCTGCAGAAATGCTGCTACATGCAAAAAACAACGTGCACCGTTTTTAGACGTTTTATAGATGAGGTGCGTCGAAGAAAGTGTAAATGGATTTTCCCGAAATTTTAAATTTTTGGCAAATTTTTTTACGCATTCGTTCAAATTCCACGAAACTTCTGCAGTCCATCGCCTATTCAAAATCTTCTGGACCGCATTCAAGCAGGATGCTGATGCTATCGTAAGAAAAGCTAGCAAACTAGAGAACGTACCTAAAGCTATTGTTAATGGAAGCCCCAAGGCTCTGTTGAATTCCGAGTGGTGAAGAAATTGTTCGGTGATTCTCTTCTTACGTAGAAAGCTACTCACCATTGTGCTGAAAGAATGGAAAACAGAATTATAGAGGGAAAGAGAATTGTTGATTAGGCGGTTTTTACTGGAAAAACGAGTGCAACTGAGGAAATGTAAACAAGTATCAGGTGTGCAAAATGTGAGGAGGGTTATTGGCAACTGGCGGAAGAAATTTGCTGAGTATCTTATTGGAACAAGCTTAATCAATCCCTTGAAGATATTTGTAATAGGGCTGATCACAATAGTGAAGAGGACCGCATGGAATCTTTCAAGCGCCTCTCAAAGACGTAGGGCTTGTCGAAGGTCACACCCTTCGAGGTCGACTTCCGCAGACTTCTAGGAAATACAAGTAGGACGATACTCATGATACTCAGGGCCCTTGGAACAATACGCAGCACAATTATCCACTTTTGCTCAGATTGTGGATCAGGGATCTCAGGAAAAAGCTCATTGGATACCTATCTGATCGGATATGAGTTAAGAATTACGAAGAAAGCATTGTGGTCATTGCGGATATGTTCTGGTAAGAACTCCTCACACAGAGAAGGCCTATATGAAATGAGTGAATCAGAAAAGGGGCGAGTGAATGTTGCAGTGGGACTTCGAGTAGAAGGCATTGTTTAGCAGTCCTTTTCGATGCACCACTTATTCCACTTCTGTGCAAAACCTCATCAGTCACAAATAAGTACATTGGTGTNAAGCATTGTGGTCATTGCGGATATGTTCTGGTAAGAACCCCTCCACTAACAGAGAAGTGAGAAGGCCTATATGAAACGAGTGAATAAGAAAAGGGGAGAGTGAATGTCGCAGTGAGACTTCGAGTAGAACGCATTGCTTAGCAGTCCTTTTCGATGCACCACTTATTCCACTTCTGTGCAAAACCTCATCAGTCACAAATAAGTACATTGGTGTTTTACATACATACATGGTATAAAGGATAATTTTTTCTTATTCACTAAAAAGGATATTTTTGGGAATGAATCCGGAACTGACCTACAAAAAAGTGTTTGAACAGCCATTGATCCAATCCTTAATTCCCTTATGGACTGGTATTCCAGTAGTGCCTCTTGTTACGCTCCGTTCTACTCCCACTCAAATGCGCACCGGGCAATAACATGCACATGCTTTCTGCCAACACATCAGAACTTCAACATGCCCAAATTTCGCCCTTTGGTTTTCGTCTTCCAGGGAGGTCGGTACCATTTAGTCTATCTCAGGCAGATAGACTAAATGATACCGCCTTTCCTGGAAGGCGCAGAGCATCTCATTGGTTTTTCTTCATTCTATTTCACACTTTACGTTGAAAATATTGACTTATTGTTGAAAATGCATTTTTGAATCTTCTTAAGGAATTTTCTCTACAGAATGAGGCTGAGATCTGAGAGAAATTGAGAAAACGGCTTTCAAGGATGACTGATGACATGGTGATGAGGATGCCGTAAGCTGAAGAACCGAATCAGATTTAGCGAAGGCGAGTCGCAAATGGGTCTAATTCGATGGGACGAGCGCAAAACTGTGTTACAGCCACCTCAT